GTTTTTATGTATATAATTTTTATTCTAACTTTGCAGTTTAAAAAGATAAGACGGAGGTTGACAGACTAATTACATAGGGAGGGAGGTAAAGCTTCTTGCCAGATGGGCAAAGCACATGTTGTACCAGGGCTTGTGCATTTCAAAAGTGGTTTCAAAAGAGAAGCAGGCAGTATATAAGATAAACAGTCAACAGAGCAGAGTTTATGCAAACTGACAGGTTAAAATTAATGTTTCTGCCTTCATAACGATTAGAGGAGAAAAGGAACTTTTCACCTATGAAAAAATTCGTTATTAGTTCATTTGTTTTTCCTTTTCTTGGTTTTTTTTTTTTTGGTGCACCTTCTGAAACAAGAGAACAAGCTTTAAGAAAACATACTCGTTACATGGAAGCATGATTGTACCATATCGACGACTTCATAATCAATTTATGCATCTGACCTTTGTAATAAAAAGGAACATACTGGATTTAGTCAGCTCTTGGAATTCAGACTTTGAATTAACATGAGATTAAAACCAATGAAAAACATCCTCTTTGTCCTGATAAGTTCTTTAACATGTGACAGCAGATTGAGTATGCTGCAAAATAGCAAGGTTTAAAAGAAAAAGCAAGGATGTTCTGCTGCTTTGGTTATCTCTTTGTTAGGTAGTCCTATATTTTTCAGAACAAGCTTTAATTTGGGGGAAAATGATTATGAATTTGTCTTCATCTTTCCCCAGGACATGGTGGAATTTGGTTCTACCTTTAAACTTTGAAAACCAAGAAAACCTTTCAAGTATCTGCACGAACTGTTAATTCTTGATGTCATGCATACCCTGTCAAAACATTGTTCATAGGCCATTTTTCTTCTATTTTCTTTTAGTGGAAGACCTACAATCCCAGTTTTTCACAGGTGGAAATCTGGTTTCGATTTGTCTTTGTAGTTCTTACTTTCATGGTCACGGTAAGATTTTGTTTCCTTGTGTGTAGGCAGCTGATGACATTTCTCTTTAATGCTGTGTTTAGTAACTTAACCCCTGGCAGTAGAATCGAGATATCACTGAATGGGTGCAAACAACGTTTCTGAAATACTAATTCACTTGCTGCTTTTGTTTTTGCAAGTAGTATTGAAGAGCATTAGGAAAACAGTACAAATGGAGAAAGCTTGTTTTTCTAAACTCTGACTTTGAATTGAACACACAGAATTTTGCTCAAACAAAGGCAATTCTGATTAGATGTTGGAAAAAAAGTTGCAGCACAGGTACTCAGACATGGGAATAATTTGACCAGAGAGTTTGTGGGCTCTCCATCTTTGAAGATGATCAAAATTCAGTTGGATATGACCTTGATCTAACTTCAAAGTTGGCGCTGCTTTGAGGTTGGACCAGATGACCTCCAAAAGTGCTTTCCAACCTAAATTACTCTGATTAAGAACATCTATCACCTCTGACCCAGTTTTGCCCCTGGAAAGGAAGTGTTTTGGAAAAACAAACAACATGAAAACTAGAACCGAGAATTTCAGAGTAAAGGAGCTAAAGCGCTTAACACTTGCATGGCGTTTTTCTCGCATATGTGACGTCACTCACATCAAGTAACTGAATGTGATATAGAATCTAGGGTTTTGTTTTTTTTTTTTTAATGGGTGAATTTAGGCAGAAGTTGTGGGTGGCACGTGAGCAGTAATTAGGCAGCATTTTTCACGTAGTGCTGATTTGCATAGTAGTAGCTGGTTTCCTTTTCAGGTTGCCTGAGAAAGTAACTTACGTAGGTGTAAGCCAGCAAAATGGGAGCAGAAATAGAAGCTTAGAGACATGACTCCTGTTTTACAGTGTTCTCAGTGCCAAAGACCTCTTGAAGTGTGCTCTTGAAGTGTTTGTAATGTGCTATTTATGTGCTTCTTTACAGCCTTAATGGTTTTAATTAGAGTATTCTTTCCTTATAAAATTGGGATTTTTGTTTTATAGTGTCTGTTTGCACATTCCCTACGAAAATTCTCCATGAGAGACTGGGGCATTGAACAGAAGTGGATGTCCATCCTCCTTCCCCTCTTGCTACTTTACAATGGTACTTGTATCATGGCGTTTTTATGAAAGCTCCTTTAAAAGGAAAAAAAAAAAAAGTGGCCTTTAACTTGTAGGCAGCTGTTTATAAGACTTCAGAAAACTCTACTAAAAAAATCAACACTTTTTAAGTGTATGAAATTCAAAGGCATGATCAGTAGGTGGATTTCATTCTCTTCAGTGATAAAAATGTCACCTCTGTCAAGTAGCTGCTGCCATACTGAACCTTTTGTATAGTGACATGTAGATGCAGTTTCTGCATTTACCTGACAATTCTTCGTTATTCAGAAACTCATGCTTTAGTTAAAAGGAGAAGCTGCTTTTACTCTGCTTTGTAAACCACATCAAATTCAAGAGCTGTCTAGCAGTATCAAAAAAATATTTGGCTTTCAGTCATGCTGTGGCAATTTTTTTAGGTCATCACCAATAACAGTGGTTTAGCGGAAGATCTGATAAAACATGTACTTTTCTAGAAACCTTGGCAACCGTTTTAGAGTATTTTTGTAACATAGAAGATTGCTGCTGGAGGCCCCATTTCCTGTGTAAATTGCTTTAAGATCCAGCAAACTTCAATTTCACTTACTGCTGTAATTTGAAAAATCTGGTTATTTATTTCTCTGAAGATGGATTCTGCTTTGCTTTATAATGGAAAAATACTGCTTTTTTCCCCTTTCTTAAACTAGTTTTCTTATTTTGTTACAGATCCATTTTTCCCCCTTTCTTTTCTGGTGAACAGTTGGTTTCCTGGAATGCTGGATGATCTATTCCAGTCACTGTTCCTGTGTGCGTTGTTGTTGTTCTGGCTTTGCGTCTACCATGGTATAAGAGTGCAGGTAGGGGTGCAAAAATATCCACATAGTATTTACTGAGAAGACAGTACTTGTTCTTCAATTTTCTCAAAAGATGACAAATTAAAACCTGATTAAAAAGAAAAGATGACATTTATTCTATCTTCTAAATACAGTGTGACGCATGAGGCTTTGGGATTAAAATGATCCAGGTGAAGTAGATTGTCTTGACACTACCATGCCTAAATAAGATAGATGGGATTGTTCACTCTAAACTGTTGCAAGACCATCTGCAGAATAAAGATGCCATTATGCTTTATTCTTGCTTAAAGGGTTTTGTTGTTGTATGCAGTGGTTGTCTGCTTTTTAAACCACTTTACAATATTGCATAAGAAAATATGAATTCTGGAGCATGTTGCTATAGTTGCAGTATCAATGAAATAGGTGAGACCTTATAAACAGGATGCCTGAAATCTACTGTATCTTAAATTTAACACAAATGATGACAGTTTCATGTATTCTCTAATCAGCTGTGCAGGTTAAAAATTCAGAGGGCAAGATTCTTGATCTAGCTGAATGAAAGAAGAAACAAAATAGTTATTTGATTCGTTCTTGACACAATGAGATCTCAAATGTGGGTTCACTTCTTAACCATCCTACTGCTGTCTTAACAGGGGGAAAGGAAGTGCTTGACTTTCTATCTGCCCAAATTCTTTATTGTTGGACTATTGTGGCTGGCCTCGGTTACATTAGGAATATGGCAAACGTAAGTAATTGAAAATTTAGTCCAAAGGTAATGAGTTGAAAGTGTTCAAGAACTAGAAGATTTTTTATAATTAGTACTATTTGTTTCTTAACTGATTGTGATTTAGGAATGGATAAATTACGTGCTCAAATTCTTATATCTTTACACGTGGCACATTGTGACTGACCTGAAAACAGAATTCTGCGTGGATGACTTAGTAGTACATCATTCTATAAAGCATAGTGAGAGAGAGAAAACACCACTTTATCAAGATGTTGTGGCTGCCTATAATACACCTTCCAGCACTATGTCCCATGTAGCTTTTAGTATTCCAAGCAACAGTTTCTCTGCAGTTACTTATTACACAGTTTCATCATACTTTCTCAACCGTTCAGCCTGCACGTTTGGTATTGATATTGCTTAGCCAAGTTAGGCTATTTCTCCTCAAAACTCAGTAGTTCGGTTTTGTTTAATTTTTCTCTTCCCCTGCAGCCTGATGTCATATAAAGGGGGCAGTATTTCCCACCCAGAATACTACGTCAGTTTTGGTACATTTGTCGATTTTGGAACCGTGCTAGTCTCAACTGTTTGCCTCTTATTTTATTTCTTAAAAGGAAGAAATCTCCTAACTTTCTCCATGCCATTGTTCATCGTTGAAAACAGTGCAGTTGCAGGAAATTCTGGTGCTAATACCCCACCAGCAGAATTATTATGAGGGAAGGGCTTATACTGCAGTTATTGCTTAAGCATAATTCTTATCACCAAGGATGAGCTTTAAACACTGAATCCCAAAGACCTGTAGGTATTTACCAGATTATACAATTTTAAAAAAGTAAGGTGGGAGATGAGAGCTGCTAACAGCCGAAATCCTCCATATTGTTTGAAAATTTGAGTTTGAGAAAGAGGAGGCTGTCATGTAACGTAAATTGTCGTGGCTCTGTTGGAATTAATAGGTTTCACCAATTTACACAGCCAATAGTTTAGTTATAAACTTTGTATAATAATGTGAAACTTATTCTTTGTTAGTGAGTTTCTTGGTCAGCACGTTTTTTTTACTTTGTCTTTTGTAACGATGTAAGTACCACTTTTTTTTTTTGAATCTTTTCTAGTGTTAACGAAGTACGTGATCCTACGTACCAATACAGGGTTGACACAGGTAATTTTCAGGTAAGTCAGAAATGTTTTTCTGCTGGTGAGTTGTTATGTGTAATTAGGTAATACAAGTTTGTTCTTGTGTTAAAATATAAAGCTCATTCTGGAGAGTACCAGTGCTGGCCAGATGGTCTTATTCTGACTAGAGTACTTGAATGTTTCCGTTTTGCTTTATATCACACACTGGCTTACATAGTGTGCCTTATTGAGCTCCATCCCAGTGAGAACAGTAAATTGTCTTCCAATAACCTTGGGCATGTGGAGACTCAACAGCAGAAGTACAGTCATGGATTCATGACTCTTAGGATTGAAAGACAGTTTAAGTCTCTTGTTAAGTCAGTTTTGTGCATCTTTATTCTTGCCAAAAACCTCTGTCCTAGTAAATTTCTGCTTTTCTTGTTGTAGGGGAAGATCTGATTTATATAGGTTCATATATCTTCTTAGGAGCTATGTTTTTAGACAAACCCTGAGATTCAGCTCATTGTGAATTTAGTGAGCAAAATGACCTTTGCTATTAAACATCCTTCCTTTACATCTCCTGTTCCCCCAAAACCACAGCTATCCTCATTTTCTCCTTCCTTTCATGGGCCTGGTTTCTCTGAAGAAAATTCCATCTTATGTTTGGAAAATAATGATTTCTAGTGGTAGGGTGTTATGAAGAAAGAAGGAATAGACCAAATCTTGTTTAAGTAATAAAAAGGAATATTCTTTTTATAGGGAATGAAAATCTTCTTCCTTGTGGTGGCAACCACATACATTCTCTACCTTTTGTTCCTGATAGTGAGGGCATGTTCAGAACTTCGTAACATGCCTTATGTTGGTAAGGAGTATTTCCTTTGAGTCTACCCCAAACAGGCTTTCTTCTCACAGATAGAGATGTAAACTCTCAAATAACAACTTTTCTCAATTTTTTTCAGATCTCAGGTTAAAATTCTTGACTGCGTTAACCTTTGTAGTGCTTGTCATTAGGTAAGGTTTTTCAAAGTACGTTTCTCAGCACTGTAATTTTTGTAACTTTTTTCAGGGCTTTGAATACATTCTGTTGATAATGAAATTGTCAGTCAAAGTCAGGAATG